TCATACCTGTGTTAAAGCTTATTTCGTCATCCATATGCAGATCCCACCACCACACAACGCCATGCGCTGTACCATCAGCGATTATCTTCACATCGCACAGTGTGTTTATATCGCACTCGTCTGAATTGGGCGAATTTGCGAAATCAAAGTCGAACACTCGGAAGGGCTCGGATAAGGGTGTGATGTCTGGGGCTAGCTCATCGGCCTGTATGCACCATGCCTAGGAGAGACGCCAGATGTGATCAGCAGATATATGGACAAGTTACATATGCATATGTATGTAGAGACTATGCTACGCTATGCTACGCTATGCTACGCTATGCTACAGTAGCTAGTAGGAGGTACAGAGCGAGGTACAGTCGTGGTGGTAGCTTATAGATGCATATATGCACCATTGCCATAGCAACCATTAGCCGATGCAATACTACCAGGTATACACCGCAAGCAACCGCGTCGCTCACTACTCAATAAAAGTACTCTCCATTCTGCTCATATGCACTCACTCGCGTGTCTGTCCATCGCAGAGCAGATGTGTACATGACACACCCGTAGTATAACCACACACCCGTAGTATAACCACACACCCACAAGCCCAGACACACCCACCCCGCCCCATCCTCTGCCCATGTCCACAACCACTCCACCGTACCTGCGGTAGTCCCCTACACCTCTTGCTCTCTGTCCTCAAACCCGGCAATCCGGACAGCTTATGCCCTGCCCACAATCTTTCGGACTGGACCAGTTGCGCGTAGATTGTGGCTCCGCACGGCACATGGGGTGCATTGGGCTTTAGTAGGCGCTTGGCGGCGTCTCTGTGCGAGCCCAGCACGGCCTCTCCCAGAAGTTCGGTATCTAACAACTCAGCCACCAGCAGATCGGCACGGGCGGGCAAGTCTTCGTCATCCTCTGTGGGGTTGGTGTGTGTGTGTGTGGTGGTGGTGGTGGTGGGTCGCTGAGTGCACGTGAGAAGCATGTGTTATATGACGCAGACAATAGGAATGGTAATGTATGTTCCTAATGTGGACAGCATGTGTGCCATATGAGTAGCAAACCAGGTAATATCTCGGTATAAGATAAGAAAACATATGAATTTAGATATTAGGTGGGGTATTTGAGACGACTTGGTGTATTCTATGGCAATGCACTAAATTCTACGTTTTGGATGGAGTCCGTTAACGCGATACGGGTACGAAGGCCCTCAGCTATACGTGGCTGTACAATCACGTTCAGATGATCTCATAACGAGGACGCTAGCATATACACAGGCACTACCAATGGCATCACCGGAAACACACACAACCCCACTGTCACAGCAACCGAGCGGTCAGTACACGCTACTCTCTCACACACACTCTCTCTCACACATGCACGCACACGCACAGTCACCCGCCATACCCCCAGTATCCACCTCATCCGATCTCTTGTGTATGATCTTTATCCTCACACACACACACACACACACACACAGTCACCCTCCATACCCCCAATATCCACTTCATCCGATCTCTTGTGTATGATCTTTATGCGATCCGCAAAGTTACTAGTCTTGACCACTTCTCTGGCTACTCGAACCATCGGCTCAAATAACTCGCACGCCACCACTTCGTCTGCGCCAGCCTCGGCGGCCATTAGAGACAGCAGAGAGGTGCCCGCCCCAATATCCAGTACAAGAATCGGGTCGGTTTCTTTGCCCTGATTTGATGGTATGGATGGTCCACAGAAATCAGGACGATTCCCAATTAATATTAACACGCAAATCGATACAGAATTATGGACCACAACCCATATTCAATACAAGAACCAATAAGTGGGGACGATGTTCACAATGCATTCCTAGTGTAAGAGTCACGTTGGATCTTTATCCGTAAACGGTTTTGATGAGCATGGCTATCAATTCACCTACAGTAAAGGAAATTGGACAGCTCTTTTGTCCTAAATAGATGACAAAAGATGTTTCTTATGCCAAATACAGCAGATGAATCAGGTCAGTCTGCTCACAATGAATCAACGATTACAATGTTTCACAAATGGTTTAATGTTGTGGTCTGGTTTGAATGGTGAGTATCTGTGTGATGACTCTTAAGATCCGATTCATGAGATAAATTACATAGATAAAAAGCAATACATGTTCTTTATATATATATATATACATATATATATATATATATATATAATATATACATATATATATATATATATATATATACTAGTAGTACTACGGACACGACGAACGAGA